ACCCAATATAAGTTAATTTGATAGCTAATAAATCTGATTGATATGTGGGGTTTAACGTCCCAAAACCACTATATGATTGTGAGAGATGCCGAAGTGGAGGGCTCCGGAAATTTCGACCAACTGGGGTTCTTTAACGTGCACCCAAATCTGAGCACACGGGCATACAGCATTTTCGCCTCAATCGAAAATGCAGCCGCAGCAGGCGGGATTCGATCTCACAACCTGCAGGTAAGCAGCCGAGTACACTTAGCCACTAGACCACCGCGGTGGGGCAGCTAATAAATTTAATTTAACCTTACACCTCATCGATTCCTAAGCCTTAGACGACTCATAAAACGCGAAGATTGAACGGCATCCCGCGTCGGCTGCATCAACACGAGTGATGCAAGAAATCATGATCACATGACGATCTCACAATATACGCAATCTTCACGACGTCGCACATCTTAAAAACCAGCGACGTCACTGTGGCGTCACAGCATGGCTACATCACATGACAGCATAGCTTGTGTCAAAGGTGTCTCCGATCGTGGAGGCAATGCAACGTTAGTTGCATAAAGTTTTCGAGGGGAGGGGGAGAAACAGTTCACCCACTTAGAAAAAAAAATGGCCCCGTAACTGCATTTATTCTGCAAATGTCGAAAGACGATAGTCTTGCGTGTGGAGAGAGTGAACAAAACATTTATTTGATGTTCTGCTCAAGAAAATCGGTGAATGGTATTCTGGAGGCTGTGCGTCAGAGTGCCTCGAGCGTGCAGCGGAGGCGAACGAGCGCATCAAGACACGTCACACGTGAGACATGACCGCCATCTGGCAGTTTTTTTTTTTTTCAAAAACAAAGCGCGCGGCTCTGAGACGGGTGTGCGCGCCCGCCTCAGAGGTGATAAGGTGTAGAACGCAAGGCGACGGGTAGGTGCCACCACTGTCTCGTTTTAGCAAAGCGTTGGAAACACTCGCCTTTCCGTGCAAGCGTTGGATGATCAGCGCAGCGTGATAAGCGCTACGGTCCTTACAATTACTTATGTATGCCTTTTCTAGTAAAAGGCACACATGCAGAATATATACGTGTTGTTACGGTGCCCCAGACACGCGCAATAAGTGCTTTTTAATCGACAATTGCACAAGTATGAACTGTGAATCTTGAGCAACATAGGTGGGTGCTGCGGATCGGGTCGGCCCTTTCAAATACCCGATGCTGTTAAGAGTGGACAAACAGACAAATGTACAGACAGACAGACAGACAGACAGACAGACAGACAGACCAAAATTTTTGCGTTGAAGGTCCCCAAGAAAGACTATTCTCTTTAAAAGAGAAAGATGTCTTTCGTCTTCGAGTCTAGCGATGCAAATGCATATATATATATATATATATATATATTAGACACCCGGCTGCGATCCTCGCTTGACAGAAAAGTTCCCGCATTATGTCCTCTCTGACAGCGATTGTGAGCGCTACCTTTTGTGGGGGAGACACTTACCGACTACGCGCCTTTCTTTTCTCTCATTCAGCGCATGTGCCCATTCTTTCCATTCACACATCAAGCCCACACACGTCCGCATGTCGCGGAGACTCGAGGGTAGTATCCGAATCTGAACCGACTCCGGTCTGTGTGTAAGGGAGAGGGGGGCTCGTGTGGGCACTTATACCGTATTTACTCGAACGTAACAAGATTATATATTAAAGCCGAATACGATGCTGCTATACGGATATGTGTAGTGGCGAAGAAGAAGTGGTGGCGTGGGTCCCTCTTTGAGGAGACCACGCTGTGGTGGAGGGTGGTCCACCAGCAGTGACGTTTATAAACAAATTATATATATATATATATATATATATATATATATATATATATATATATATATATATATATATATATATATATATATATTTATGGGATATGGCACAACGGGAGCGTTGTCAACAAGGATAAATATATTTATTTCCCAACAGTTTCGGGAGGGGTCCTCCCTTCATCAGGGGATGAAGGGTGGACCCCTCCCGAAACTGTTGGGAAATAAATATATTTATCCTTGTTGACAACGCTCCCGTTGTGCCATATCCCATAAATATATATATATATATATATATATATATATATATATATATATATATATATATATATATATATATATATATATATATATATTTATGGGATATGGCACAACGGGAGCGTTGTCAACAAGGATAAATATATTTATTTCCCAACAGTTTCGGGAGGGGTCCTCCCTTCATCAGGGGATGAAGGGTGGACCCCTCCCGAAACTGTTGGGAAATAAATATATTTATCCTTGTTGACAACGCTCCCGTTGTGCCATATCCCATACCTTCACGAAGACTAACTGGCCCATTGAATTATTACTCCCACTATATATATATATATATATATATATATATATATTGTTGGCCATATACTTTTTTTATCATATAAATGTCTGCATCGCTATCTTCATCAGTACGTGATCATGGTTTTTCCGGCAGTCAGATGCTTCGTTTTAATGTGATACAATGCGTGCGCTGTCTCACAAAACCTAAACAAGGAGTAAGCAGGGGAAGATGAAGAGCTACGAGGCGCTGTCGGCATGTTGGCGGTATCGTGATGCGACATCGTGATCGACTAACTATCACTTGGCGACAATGTCGCCAATGAAAGAACTGTCGAGCCTTGAGCGTGGTTGTGAGGGACGTTATAGGCAGAGACGCAGAGCGCGATTCGGGCTAATTAAACACAACAGTCTGGCGCCGTGGTCGCACTGCGAATTGATGTGGCGCGATAACAAAAATGGCGGTCTCTACAATGCTATATCCAAAAACATGTGTATATAGTATTCGCGTATTTATCGAGAAAGTGAAAGTGTATTGATATACGACAAGTTCGCTTGGTCTTGGTGTTTTCGATAATTGAGCATTTCATTAATCCGGACACTTTTGTGCTGTCTTGTGGCGTCGCGAATGAAGGAGTTTCTGCTGTATGCGGATATATACGGTATGTGTAGTCCCGCTCGCTGGGAAGCTATAGGCGCCGGCGGGACAGTGAGGGAAAACCCTCGCATTGTCGTTCTCCTTCTCAACTATTCCGTCCTCGTCGCTACATTTCTCCACGGTCATCAAAGAAAGGCCAAAGGTATGGGGAGGGTCTCTTTTCCTCGCCGTATACAGAGGCGAATGAGGCAATGGCGGGTGTCACGGCACGTGATGTAGCAAAATGGAAGGCTGCTACACACCATGCACTGCGGCCATGCACGACGACTATGTGCATGGGATGCGAGCAGCGGGTCTTCCCGAAAGATTGGCGTGCCCAATGGCTCTTGAAACGGGCTATCCGCCGCCGGTCCCCTTCCCCGTGAGCGCAGTTCTCCGACGCCTCTCCCGGATGTGTGCTCTCTATAAGGTGAAAGGGAAAATTAAGGCACCGCCCCATCCAAACCACGTATTATGTGGACTGTATTCAGTGCCATGCGTGTGGTGAGAACGCCGTATCGCGCGAAAACATCTGCGGACATGACCACCCGAAAAAAAAAAAAAAACCCAGCTGCATCCGTATTTATGTGTAATGCTGAAACGTCGTGATGCGTATTAAATAGTGGGGAATCCTCAATATGAGATGGAGATAGACTCGTCACTCCACCCTATACCGGCTTTCATATTTTGTTCTTTAGTCATATATATGTGTTTATGCAGGTATATAGTTCAAAGATTCAACCTTAAAGACAAATCTGCGTATACATGCAGATCTTATTTCGCTTAACTTTAATACCTTACAGAGTTACAGCACATGGTGAAGGAAAATGAGAAGTTCACAAGGAGTGAATAGGGTAGTGCTAACTGTAATTGAATGCTCTGCTAGGTAGTAAACCTGGTGCGACCTCGTTAACCTGCCCGAATTTCCTTTGTCTTTCTGTCTCTCTTTCTCGGCGTTTACCAAATGCCCGTGAGCTCTTCGGCCAAAGATCGTGGACCATTGCTCTACATGGAGGCTTCTTTATCTTAAGTTCGTGGAGTTTTGAATGCATGCTTCCCTGTTACAAAATTTCACCTAGGCGAGCGTTTCCGAAAAATTTTGTGAAGCTGATTCACCTGAATATGTGCAGTACAGGCATTCCTGTGAGCTAAGTACACTTCCTGAATACTTCTGTGCATGTACATGATTTATGAGCGCCTTTTCGTGGTTCGATTGCAATCTTCTGGATTGAGCGGCGGTTGCCATGAAAGTACTGAAAAGGGCGTATGCATCTCGGTGAAGCACAGAAGTACTGTTCGTTCCATAAAGAAAGAAAGAAAATAAAACAAAAGCCATGTTTTTGAAATGTCACAACGACAAACTGCTCATGAGCAGCTTTCTGCCGAGATGGCCATTCCTCCGTGCCATTAGCGACGCAAGCTTTTTACCCTCGCCGGCATGTGCGGCTCGAGCACGTGGCCGTTCGCTTCGATTTCCCGGAAGAAAACGAGAAGAGAGCGCCGGTCGCCGAAACCAAAACAAACCCCTTTGCACCTACCTCGTGGCCGCTCTCTCCACCGCACGACAGGAGCGCGCTTCCGAACGCGAGCGCCATCTCACGCCGCGCGTAGCGTTCTCGGTGGCAGCGGCGGCCTGGGGCACCGCAGCCCCGCCCGCCCTGGGCCCTGCCCACCGGACCGGCCCGCGCCGAGATGCCTGCGTCGGGCCACGCCGTCATTGGTTCGCGCGCCCTCACTCCCCCTGTCCGAAACACGGGCTGTCCGGATAAACGAAGGAGAGGGAAGATGATGGCGCGCGGAGGAGATGAGGGGTGAAAGCGAAAAAGAGAGGAGAGGTGCGATAGAAGAGAAGGGGGCCACTGTTTCACCCCTCTCGCCCCCCCCCCCCTAATTCCACCGCCTTCGCGAAGAGCGCCTCGCCGCGGCGGCCGCTGGCGGCGAAGGTCCGCGCGGTCTCTCGGTCGGACGGTACGGAAACACGTTCGCGAGACGAGAAACGACGCGGCAGCCGGGGCCCCTTGAAGTTGCTGCGTCGAGGAGGCCAATGGACGCCGGCTCTCTGGGCAGCTGCAGCAGCGGAGGCGGCACGCCGTCGCCGCCGACGCTCACGTTCGGCTCGCCGGCGGCTGCCGCGCACTCGCCGTCGGCTCGCTCCAGCCCCAAGTCGGGCTTCGGCTCAATGACGCCGACGCGCTCGACGCCCGAGAGCCCCTTGGGCGCAGCGCTGCCACTGCCCCCGCCACCCAAGCAACCTGGTTACGGTGTCTTGCACGCGCTCAACGGTGGCCGCGCACTGTACGGGGCCATGCGGCCAGCCGCCGTCTCCTCCGGGCATCCCATCGGACGCGTCGGCCACCGACTGCCGGCTGCATCGACTACCGCGGCGCCAAGGTAGGCCGCGTTCCTCGTGAACGGCGAGTACCTTCTGTGCCTGCCGCAGGCGTTCGAGCTGTTCCTCAAGCACCTCGTGGGCGGACTACACACGGTGTACACCAAGCTCAAGCGGCTCGACATCACTCCCATCGTGTGCAACGTCGAGCAAGTGCGAATCCTGCGCGGACTGGGCGCCATCCAGCCCGGCGTGAACCGGTGCAAGCTGCTCTCGTGCAAGGACTTCGACTCGCTCTACAAGGACTGCACCACTGCCAGGTCAGCGATGCGCTGTGCTCTTTTTTCTTTTCTCCGGTGTCGGTGCACGCTCGAGAGCCGTGTCCTTTAA